CTTTTACAAGTCGGTACTCTTGACAACTTCTGTAACTGTCCCACAGCTGTGAGTTCAACGGAGCACTGAAGTTCAGACAGAAAGCCTGTTTGCACATCTCGTCAACTTGTGAAGCAGATATTTAACCAGAGAACTACACACATTAATGGTGAACATGAGTACAATATTCTGTTGTCAACAGAATAGTTTCCCCATTGAGTTCTGCTCTCCAGTAGATCACCATCAACATGCTTTTGAAAATCGTCAGACAACCTAAGGTCTGTTAAAGGCAGCGTTGTGTAAAAAGCAAGGTGTGCCACTGTTTCCATCCCTTTAAGGTCTGGGCTGAATGTTTACAAAAACACATTTTCATCAGCTGCCGGTTAAAAGCTGCCGTGTGACCCCTTCCTGAAAAGTGATTTAATAGCGCCTGATTGTTTGATGTTGAAATGTGTTATTGTATGTGTGAGGCTGTCGGGTTAAACATCCGCTCAACTAATAAATAAACTGGAAATATAAGGATCAAACTTTATACCACTACATACGTGGACGGTGGACAGTGAGGCTTATTTGGTCTGAATATCTGATATGATTAAATGATAATATCAGGACATTTACAGATATTTATTTCTTAAAATATTAAATTTCATTCATATTTACATTGTAGTGTGTACATTCACATATCGATTGGAATCTCATTAAAATCTAGGTGTATTGATTTTATATGTATGCATATACACCTATATTTTTAAGAGAGACAAACTTTCATGCATTCCTTCTCCCAAAGGTAGAAGTGGCCACAGACATGATGGGGTGGGATGGGGCATGACTCTCTCAGCTTTATGTGGGAGCTGCTTCTGCGTCTCCCTCCTGTACCTGGTTGCCTTTAAACAGCGATTTGAGCTTTGTCATGATGCCAGAAAGTGTCTCCCTCACACTCTTTTCCAGCAGCCATCCCTCACTTTCGCTCTCAGGATTCTCTGGGTCTACCAGGGTTTCCAGTGAAGTGGTCAGGTACTGCAAACCGACAGTCACGACAGCCTGCAACAAATTAAATTCAGTTCACAGTAGAACTAAACATGCTTCACAAATGTATGTGTTTCCATTTGGAAGTGATTTCGTCTTTGGAATATATATGTCCACAAGTTTTCTTAGGGTAATGAATCTCTAGAAACTTCCACACATGCTCAAATACAGCATCATTGGCGTGTGCTTCTGATGTTTTGACCCACATGAGTTCTACTTTTCCAGGAAATATTCAGTTTGGCAACAAGATCTTAGGACTTACACCTTCAGTTCAAACTTAACAGCAGGTTAACCCTCTTGAACTAATTTTTTTGCACATTTGGTGTCTTGTCACATTACGCAATCAGTAACAGTTCAGATAGAAGGTTTGCTGTGCCCATCTACTAAACTATTTATGCATGAATATAGTTTCAGTGTATTTGGTAGTAGTAATGTAGACAAGTTCTGTAAGAGGAAAATATGAAACTGTAAATATACCAAGTGCATGTTATTTATGCAAAACTCATGTTGTCAACTTCCCACATGCTAAATGCTTGTTCCCTATATCTTGTCATGCCATCAACACAAAGTGTTAATCAAATCAGTTAAGCAGATAATTAATCTGTTTCTTTCAGACCTATTTATATTACTCTTTACGCACCAACTGACCTTATAATCTAGCGGCTCACTTTATAATCTAGCAACACATTCTTTACCCACCAAGAGTGTAATCTAGTGACAAAGTCAAAGGCCATGAGTTAGCTGTGTTCAACTTTGGATTCCATTTCCTCTCCCACACCCACCTGCATAATAATGAACAGCAGCACAAAAGCACCAATACTGTTCATCATGCCCCCATAGTAGGACACCAGGGCCTCACGGCAGCCTCTGGTCCAGATGTTTAGGTCCTCAGTGTGGTGGTCGTAGCTGTAGTGAGCGGAGTTGTTGGTCAGGTGATGTTGGATACAAGGGCGAGGGGAGCCAGGGTTGCAGCAGCTGAAGGGAACACTTTCCATCAAGTATTTGCCTTCCACATTGCTCTGGACACGGCTAAGAAATTCCAAAAGATTGAACTGTCAGGCAGATATTTCAATTATATTGACTGGGATGTATTATTAGGTGTGGTATTTAAGATTAAAAGAGAGGCAGGCTTAGAAACACATCTCAACAAATTTGTATCTCCACATTAACTTTGAGATTATTGGACAAAGCTGAGGACTCCAATCTGATAATAAAAAGAAACCCTATTTTAAATTAGATTTATGAACATCTCCTTGGGACAATTTAGCCCATTGGGAGGTAAACACTGGGGGCTCACTCCATGGGAGGTAAAAGATTGCACAATATTATTATTTGTGTGGAAGGTAAGTTTTAAAGGACTTTGGAATAGGATACTGACACATTATCTAATCCATGGACCCATTTGCCCCCTTAAACCCATTCCCTCTTTATAAAACCCACAAGCCAATTATCTACTTGGGAATCTTGCAAAACAAACTCTGAAATTCGATTCCTCTTCCATTCAACGTAACAGTTTTCAAGGAGTCTGTTTTGAGACATTGAATATATTGTTTCATTATAACCTTTGTGCTATTTTTTGTCTTGAGAGTAAAATATACATCAGCTGATCTCTATCCGCTTAGGTGCCTTACTTTCTTAAACAAGCTTTAAAGGGGTCATATGATGCGATTTCAAGTTTTCCTTTCTCTTTGGAGTGTTACAAGCTGAATGTGCATAGATAAGATCCCTGAAGTTGCAAAGACTAAAGTCTCAAATCCAAAGAGATATTCTTTATCAAAGTTAAGACTCTGCCACGCCCCCCTAAAACGGCTCGTTCTAACACGCCCCCACATATCTACCTCACTATGTGGAAATATTAGCATAATGCCGCCCAAATGTGCACGCAAAGAAAGAAGACGTGGTTTCAGTAACCGCAATTAGTGTTGAAGCAGCCACGTCAGGGAGACACTGTGTGTTTCTAGGCGAAAGCAAAAGCACTTTATTTGGCCTTCCGAAAGTAGATGCATTTAGGAATCTTTAAGATTACTTACAACAGAACAGCAATGCATTTTATGGACGACCGTTTCATGAACCTAGGAGAGGAGGTAATTCTGACTTTGCTATGACAATCTGGCGCTTCTGAATCAGCTACTGTTTTGTTATTAGCTCCAGTAGATCACCATCAACATGCTTTTGAAAATCGTCAGACAACCTAAGGCCTGTTAAAGGCAGCGTTATGTAAAAAAGCAAGGTGTGCCACTGTTTCCATCCCTTTAAGGTCTGGGAGGTGACTGAACGTTTACAAAAACACATTTTCCTCAGCTGCCGGTTAAAAGCTGCCGTGTGACCCCTTCCTGAAAAGTGATTTAATAGCGCCTGATGGCGTTATGGTGAAATGTGTTATTGTATGTGTGAGGCTGTCGGGTTAAACATCCGCTTAACCAATGAACTGGAAATATAAGGATCAAACTTTATACTGCTACAGACGGACGTGGACAGTGATGCTTATTTGGTCGGAATATCAGATATGGTTAGATGATAATATCAGAACATTTACAGATATATTTCATTCTTAAAATATTAAAAAATAAACTTACATTTTATTTGTATTTACATTGTAGTGTGTACATTCACATCAATTGGAATCTCAATAAAATGCAGGTGTACTGATCCCATATGTATGCATATAAGAGAGAACATTTTAATCAACCTTTCATGCATTCCTTCTCCCAAAGGTGGGAGTGGCCACAGATATGATGGGGTGGGAGGGGGCATGACTCTCTCCGCTTTATGTGGGAGCCGCTTCTGCATCTCCCTCCTGTACCTGGTTGCCTTTAAACAGCGACATGATCTTCGTCATGATGTCAGAAAGTGTCTCCTTCACACTCTTTTCCAGCAGCCATCCCTCACTTTCGCTCTCAGGATTCTCTGGGTCTGCCAGGGTTTCCAGTGAGGTGCTCAGGTACTGCAAACCAACAGTTTCGACAGCCTGTGGCAAACAATTCAGATGAACTTAAATTCATTTCACAGTAGAACTAAACATGCTTCACAAATATATGTTTCTATTTGGAAGTGATTACGTCTTTGGAATATATATATAGGCCCACAAGAGGGTTTTCTTAGGTTAATGAATGTCTAGAAATTCCACACATGCTCAATACAGCATCATTGTTGTTGCTTCTGATGTTTTGACCCACATGAGTTCCAGGAAATATCCAGTTTGGCAACAAGATCTTAGGACTTACACCTTCCGTTCAAGCTAAGGATAACCCTCTTGGACTACCTTTTGTTTTTTGCACATTAGGTGTTGTCACATTATGCAATCAATAACAGATTGAAGGTTTGCTGTGCCCATCTACTAAACTGTGTATGCATGAATATATAGTTTCAGTGTATTTGGAGGTAGGAGTAGTAATGTAGACAAGTTCTGTTAAAGGAAAATGTGAATATGCCAAGTTCTTGTTATTTGTAAACTTCTCACTTGCTTGTCACCTATATCTTGTCATGCCATCAACACAAATTGTTAATCAAATCAATTAAGCAGATAATTAATCTGATGCTTTCAGACCTATTTATATTACTCTTTACGCACCAACTGACCTAATAATCTAGCGGCTCACTTTATAATCTAGCAGCACACCCGTTATCCACCAAGAGTGTAATCTAGTGACAAAGTCAAATGCCATGAGGTAGCGGTGTTCAACTTTGGATTCCATTCCCTCTCACCCACCCACCTGCATAATAATGAACAGCAGCACAAAAGCACCAATACTGTTCATCATGCCCCCATAGTAGGACACCAGGGCCTCACGGCAGCCCCTGGTCCAGATGTTTAGGTCCTCAGTGTGGTGGTCGTAGCTGTAGTGAGCGGAGTTGTTGGTCAGGTGATGTTGGATACAAGGGCGAGGAGAGCCAGGGTTGCAACAGCTGAAGGGAACGCTTTCCATCAAGTATTTGCCTTCCACGTTGCTCTGGACACGACTAAGAAATTGCAAAGATTGAACTGTCAGACAGATATTTTAATTATATTGACTGGGACATATTCTTGGTTGTGGCAATTAAGATTTCAGAAGTGGCAGGCTTCGAAACATGACTCAACAAATTTGTTTATCCATATTAACTTTGAGACTCAACTTTGAGAGCTGAGGACTCCATTCTGATAATAAGAAGGTCACCTCTTTTAAATTAGATGGGAGGTAAACATTGAGGCCATCTCCATGGAAGGTAATAGATTGCACAATGTTATGATTTGTGTGGAAGGTAAGCTTTAAAGGACTTGGGAATAGGATCCTGACAGGTTATCTAATCCATGGACCCATGTGCCCCCTTTAACCCATTCCCTCTTTATAAAACCCACCAGCCAGGTATCTACTTATGAATCTCTCAAAACAAACTCTGAAATTGGATTCCACTTGCATTCAACAACAGTTTTCAGGGGATCTGCTTTGAGACTTTGAAAACATTGTTTCATTAGAACATTTGTGCTATTTTATGTCTTGGTTATCATCAAATGATTACATAATAAAGTGTCTTTTGGGCTACACTTCCTGATGAGCAGAGTAAAATATGCATCAACTGATCTCTATCCATTTATGTGCCTTACTTTCTTAAACAAGCTTAAACTTCCTCAAAATCCAGTGAATATCAGGCAGGTTCAATGACTGATACCTTTTGAATTTCACTACATCTATGGTAACAATTAATATTTTACACATTTTGCTATGATAATGCATTTCTGAAATTCAGATATGTCACAGGCCATCAGATGGAAAAGAAAATGTATATAAATGATCCAGAATCTCTTCCAATTAGATCCCAGTACTCACGCTTTAATCTCGTCATTGCTGAAGTCCAGGTAGCGGTTGCTAATCCACTGGATCTCAAACCAGTCCCTGTAGTTGTTGTTGCCACAGCAGCGGAACTCAACCTGGGTCATATCTAGGGTTCTCTTCATGAAGCATCGTCCTGGCGTGTCTGTATCTTTGTAGTACTTCATTCCATTCTTCAGGCCGTCAGCCAGGGCGAAATGCAGAGTAATCTGCATCAGAAAACACAGCAGAGCCGTGACAAAAAGGGCAATGCAAAAAACCACACATCCGCTCATGTAGATCTTCAACATAGGTTTCCACTTGGTGAACTTAATTGTGTCAAGGGAGTCATGGCACACTTTGCCCCCAAAAGCGTTGATACCACAGGCCACGAGTCCCACCAGAATGAGCAGGTTGGGCACAAAATGGCTCTCATTGTTATCCATTATCTCGCTTCTCTTACGCAGCTCGATCTTGAAGAAGATCCCCATGCTGAAGATGAGGATCCCAGCCATGACATAGAGCCAGTACAAGAGCCACAGTCCTTGGGCCAGCTTGACCCGCTTGACCAAGTCAAATTTTATGGGCATCAAAGCCATGTTTTTGTTCTTGGTGTTTAATAAGTCACAACAATATATTCACAGGGATACTCCTTTTATATGATTACCTTTTATTGTACGATTCGTGTTGTCTTTCCCTTGTTGAATTTCTTGAAGACCTTGAACAGGAACGTTATAGTCCAGAGGCTTAGTTTAGTAATCCGCCATCGAGCATGGAATGTGCAGTAGCAAGGATTCTCCTTTCCATACCCATTCTGACCACCCACAATTCAAGAAAGTCCGTGCTGTTGGCAGCCAGAGGCCTCTTTCTCTGGAATTTCACATAAATCCACCCAAATGGACCAGCTGGGGGGCTACGTGGCTTTTCCGGATGGTTCCCTTCCCTGCAAAAGGGGGTGGCCGGCTGAGGAGCTGTGTGATTGTAGAATCAAGTTCCTCTACGTCATTCTAAACCCCACTAATCAGTGCTGATCCCATTTGCAGATGAGCCAAGGACTCTAATCCGTTCTCTTACTCTGTAATTGGTTAGTTACTTTAGCATCAGTTTGCTCTTTTACTTGCTGGTATTGCTTGGCTCTGGGGTATCTCTGGGGTAGTCTTCAGACCAAACCATTGTTGTCTTATTTCACAAGAATTGGAAGTTACATCAACACAGGGTACAGCTAGTTCCATTGGAGGTCTGCATCTATTATATTACTCTGCTTTTTTCTCAAATAACACATTTAGACATGTCTACATGTGATTTCTGCCACTGCATTTTAGAACTTTTTAAACCTACAATAATCATACATTAAATCATCAAATATGCATATATTTTTTTTAATCCTGTGAAATACCACAGGGGGTACATTTAATGGGCATAATACTTCTGCTAAATGTAAGCTAACCAAATATATAG